CCCCAAAACCCCAAAACCCCAAAACCCCAAAACCCCAAAACCCCAAATATATCAGAAATATAGAATAATTTTATTTAGAAATTATTAAAATTAGCATAATGGATAGTAGTTCATTTATTATAACAGGAAAGAGTAGTACTCCTCTCCAGCTTGAGCAGATGTCCACACTTGAAAATACTTATGCGACATTATTTGCTATTAAGCAGATCAAAAGTAAGTCTCTCCTTGATCCCCGAGTGCTAGGAGTAGGAGAGGATGATCAAGGCCTAAGTAAGAAGATGGAAAAATGCCTCCAAAAGACTATTTCTAAACCCAAAAGAACTCGTAGAACTTCCTTTTTGCTCAAAGAGGGTCATAAAAGGATGCCTAGAGATAGACCTTCTAGCAAGAGATTTCCTCCTTTAGATGACAAAGCCAAGGATTCTATGAACAAATAGGGAAATAATTCTGATGAAAACTCTTCTAGACATCCCTCCTCCTTTCGTTACCAGCCGATGATGGGCAGTAGCAAATGGTAAGACTGGCAAGGTTCTATTTGGGAGACTTGAGAACGAAGTTAGAGAGATTGCAAGTCTGACTAAGATCCTTGTATGTCTTACAGTCATAAAGCTATCAATCAAAATGTCCTTCAACTTAAAAACCACTATAATACAAGTGACAGAGGATGCCTCAATGGTAGGAGGAACCTCAGCAAAGCTAAAATCAGGCGATTGACTTACAATCTGGGATCTCCTCCATGGTCTGATGCTTCCTAGTGGTAATGACTGAGGTTATCTCCTTGCCGAACACTTCGGGCATCTCTTGAAATAAATCTGGGGAAGAAAAAGGAATAATAAAGCCTAAGAACGACCCCAAAGAGACCTCCAGTGAAGATACTACAGTAGAACTAGACACAACAGAGTCAAAAGAATCTGATGATGATGAATGTCCAGTAATGTCCAAATACCTGCACAGATTCTCTTGATTCAAATATGGATATATCAAATATTTCTTAATGGAAATGAATTATATTGCCAAAGAAGAAATAGGTTGCAAATAACTCGTTTTTCGATTCACCACATGGTCTGATGAATAGGTGGAATACCTCCACAGCCTCAGACTTAGCTAAGATCAGTGCTTATTCATTGAAAAATAAGAACTTTTCCAAGATAACCAAGACCAAGAGATACAAATGATATACCAAGAAGCCGCATGATTTTGATGAAGAGAACCCTGGTGAAGAATTTAAACCGTCACTATACTCCTGGGATAACACCAATAAACTACTTTGGAAACTCGGTTTTGATGGTCTGAAAACCGGTATAACTCCTAGCGCAGGCCCTTGTCTTGTTGCCAGCTACACTTGCTCGATCACCAAAGATCACTACATAATAATCTTACTTAACTCGAAAAGCATGGAGCACAGATGGAACGAAGTGTCTAAGCTAAAAGCATGGGCTTGTGCACGGATGAGGAAGATCAAGCACAGTAATATCCTGCAGGAGAATTCCTTTCGTGAGAAGAAGAGCCCATTTGCTTCGATAAATTCCAAAATTTTAACTAAGATCAAACATCTTTAATACACTTAAATATTTTGTAATAAAGTTAGAGCGGTCAGGGCTTTTTCAGGAAGAATTTAGGGCCAAGTACGGGAGGAGAACACTGGGCGAAGAAAGGATCACAGGTGAGGAAGGGTGACATAGGTATGGGAGGGGATTGTGGAGTGGGGATTTGAGATCCTGATTGGGTTCGAAGGTTTTCTAGAATTTTTAATTCACTGTTCTTTTCAATTTCGAATTCATCTTTTGGGGTTTTGGGGTTTTGGGGTTTTGGGGTTTTGGGG